TTTTTTCCACTTCAGATTTCTAGATCTCTCTTGTTACTTCTCATAACCACTCAGGCTCTCTTTCATATTGGTTAAACATATAGAACCTAATGCTTTCATTGTTCTTACATTTTGACAATAAGGTTAAATCTTGCTGGCACACCTGTTGTCTTTAATTTTCTGTGTTTAACTGCTTATTTGAAACTACCAATTTTTGGGCTTTTCTACAAACTGTACCTGGAAGTGTCCTGGTGCCCATTTTGTGTATCCACTGTGCTGTGGATAAGCTGGGTTTATGTTGCTTGAAGCAGATGCTGGCAAATAATTCTCTTTGCAAAACTCTATTCTGCATCATTAAGTTCAGACAATCTAAAATCCTCCTGTAATTCTAGCTCCCTCAATTTTCCCAACTTTTGCATGCCAGTCTTTCATTATAGTACCATGTCTATTTCAGAAGTTGCATTTTGCACTGTTTGCAATTTGCCATAGAATTCTTCAGTGTTTTCCACCATTTTATTTGGAGTAAGAGAATACACTTGGGTGTCATCTAATTTGAATAGCTAGGATTCTATCATTTATTGGGTTACCTAGTTATGTGCTTTTTGAGTATTATTCTCCATTCCTTCATATGATCTCATATTCTGTATGTAAAAGTGTCCCGTTCCAGCCTACCTAAACATACCTCTTCCTAAAAGATCCAATTTAATATGCTTCATTTCCTATTTGACCATTTCAAGTTCATACTTCCTACATTGGTTCATATTTCCTGCTTTCCATGTTCTTTATTTTTCATTTCATTTTTCATTTTTAATCTTCTGTAAGGTAAGAACAAACAAGAATACTAGATAACAACCCAGAACAATATATCTCAACATTCAGTCACAGGCTACATAATAACATTTAATTTATCAATAGAAGAATTATTAGCATACCTTATATAATCTTTCCAGATCTGATAAAAATGAGATTCTGAGAAACTGAGATATCGGTGTTTAAATTTGATCAGTAAATGTTTCCATAAGAGCAGTTGACTATATGGTAGCACGCCAATCATTCAATGATAGGTTATCTAGAAATTTCCAGTTTTGCTTACTTTTGCAGCCAGGAGTAAGAATACAATAAGCTCCTTTTTGTTTAGAGTTATCTCCCTCAAAACTACATAATAATCCAAAATCTTCTTGTTTAGTTATTATTCTAACCTCTGTGAATATTGTCTTCCACTAAGGCACCACCTTTTCACAAGTCTACCACATTAAGTATGAAAAAATGTTTCCTTTTGATTGCAACCCCCCCAACATTTCAATAAATAACTGTGCTATTTGCGCTAGTCTCACTGGATTTAAATGACAGTGATGTAATATCTTTCACTGCATCTCTTGTATGGAAGCTGATAGAAAACCACCTGATTTCCAAACTATTTACCACTTTGTTCCATTTATTTTCCTAAATCTATATCCCAAGCTTCTAGAGGGGGGTTACTTACCTCCAGTTCTAATAATAATTTATACATTTTTGAGATTGTTCCTTTGGGTTGGGAAAAGTAATTAATAATTACTTTTTTAAAAATAGTGAGATGCTGACCTTTTTATATCCTTTTGATTCAAAAAGGATTTAAGTTGGAGCCACATTAGTCAAGGTAGATAGGAACCTATTTATAACTCAATCTCTTTACTACATAGGGTCTTATTATTGTAGAAGTCTCTTACTCTCTGTTGCCACTGAAAACTCTCCAAGGCTTCAATTATGGTGACTGTTCTGATTAGAGAATCCTGGGTATGCCAGTAAAGGTGTTAGAGGAGAGATTCCCTCTATCAAAGCTGAATATCTTTTTTTTTCCAAACCTGAAATGCAGCTTTAGTAAACATATTACTTATATTGTCTATTTTTATGAAGACTTTTGGAAGAAAAAACATCTGGTTTATGGTTTTATTTGCCTCCTATTTATTTTCTAGCTGTATACGTTGTCTTGCTGGATTTTCCAATATGAAGGAAATAATATGCGCCAAATGTGCTGCCTGTTAATACAATTTAAAAAATGGAACTCCCCATCCTCCTTATTTCTGATGTCTAAATATGATGTTTATATTCTTAATTTTTTAGTATTGAAACAAAAATGTTCAATTTTTCTTTGCCATAATGTTAATATTTTGGAGAAAATCTATGTGGTTGCTAAGAGTTGACAGTGACTCGATGGCACATAATCAATCTACTGGAGGAGTTTGAAATTAAAAAAAAAATTATACTGCCACAATTTGACCAAGAATATTTAATTTTTTTATCCCAGATTTTCATTTCTTTTTTATTTTTTTCTACGTTGGGATAAAATTATTATTAGTTTGCTAATGTTTCTAATATTTGAAGGATTTTCTTTTAAAATACCAGCTACCTCATTCTGTATTTTAGAAGAGGTATGGAAGAACAGTTGTGACACTTGAAAATGTACTGTTAACACATCAGGTTCGGCAAATTCTTTCAATTCCATCTTAATGTATTTTGCTGTATTACTAGAATTTCATATTAGAATATCATATTATCTGCAAATAAATTTAATGATTTTTATCTCCCATTTTTATCCTTTTAATTTCTTTATTGCTCCAAAGAGCTACTGCTAATATTTCTATAATGGGGTAAAATAATAAGGGGGATAATGGACAGCCTTGCTTGGTACCTCTTGAGACTGTGAATTGCTCAGAATCATTAATTCTAATTTGGGCATTGGTAACACTATATATTTGATCTATCATGTTGAAAAAGGAATTACCAAACTTAAATATTTTAAAAGTTGGTTTTAAAAATAGTCTGTCCATACAATCAAAAGCTTTAAAGATATCTGATGAGCATATTGATAAGGAACATATGTTAATTTTATAAAAATGAATAATACTTAGTAATTTTCTCATGGGACTAGATATTTTGGAATCAAACCTGATTGATTGGGATGAATAATCTTTCCTATAATTACTTTAAGACGACTGGCTTAAATTATAAAATTTAAATATATAATTATGTAAAATATATAAATTATAAAATAGTTCAGTAAATAATTCATAAAAGAGATGGATCTGTAAGAAGATATTTCTAACTGGTCTTTATCTGGTTTAGGAATTAGAACAGTGCCAGGATAAGGGAAGATTTCCATGATATAGTGTGTTGCTTAATGACAAAAATTCTGGTATAAGAATATCCAAATGCCTTATAGAATTTGGTTGTTAACCCATCAGGGCTGGAAATTTTCCATTATTAATGTTTTTAAAAATATCTTCAACCTTGGATTATAAAAATGGAGCATCTAAGTCCTGAGCATCCTCTAAAAATAATTCTGGGAAGTTCAGTTTCTCTAGATACTAGTTGATTTTCTTCTGTTGCAGGGTTTTTAGAAGTGTACATTTCTACAAAATTTATACTAATTTTTAGTATTGGTGATAATGTGACCTTTAGTACCTTTTATTTCCTTTATATATCTCCTTTCTTTCACTTTTTTATTATTGTCAAATTCTTTTATTTTTGTTTTAATGGTAAAATATGGGTTGATATTTTGTCATTTTCTAAAATATCCAGCTCTTTACCTTTCTAATTGTTTATATATATTAACCAAGCCTGTTCTATTATACTACATTCCACGTTCGGACTGCAAATGTCCTTGTAAAATTAGGAACTCTTCCTTCAATACTCACACTATCAGTGAATAGGTGTCTCTGTCCCTGTTGCCTGTTTATATCATCACCTCCAGAACTGCTCATGAAAGTTCAGTGTTTTCCCAGTACTTCTGACCTGGGATCTCACTATTTGGCATCCAAACTTCTTGTTTCAGCTGTGTCCATTAAGTGTTCTTGATCATGCAATACTGACTTGCCATTGCCTTCTTCCAAGTTTGATTAGGAGTTTCTTTTGTTGACTTGGTTTGCTTTCCTCATACCTGCTGTGTCCTACCTGCCCTCCTCCCCATTGTGGATCCCTCTGTTTTGCTCTTACTGGCAAGGGTGACCTTAGCAACAACTCAGACTCCTGTCATCATTGAGCCCTCCCACCTAGTCCAAGCAGAGGTCCTCTGGGAAATTATTATTAGTAAAACTCAAAAGACTTTGCTGAAGAAGAAAGTCTGAATCTTTTTCTAAAGGTAGAAAAGGTAAGGAGTAAGCATAGTTACCAATTCCTTAGCTTGGGAGCAATTCAGGATATGTTACTACCTGCAGAACTCACCTCCCATTTGATTATTGGGTGCCTGTATGTGCAAGTTGGGGAAAAATTACTTATTTGGAATTAGGGCAGGAAATAATGCCCTTACAATGGTTTGGTTTTGTAATAATACATAAGATAAAATTTTTCTGTGTAGTATATATGTGTATATTTCTGGATATGCATAAGAAACATGTATACATATGTACTGAATACAAATTCAGAATAGATTTAATTGGAAATATTTTACTGTGAGAAGGTGAGGCTATGAAGACAGAAGCTTGAAGAAAACTAAAGGGAGAGGATAGTGACTGTAGATCAGTTAGTTACATGAAGGACAGGAAGAGAAGGGTTGGTGTGAGAATGCAAAGAAACCATTCTTTGTTTTAGGAACTTGTGGCCTGAAGGTGAGATATGGCTCTAATTTTAGTCTAACTCCATGTTGTTTCCAGGGAGTTCCTTTTCTTAAAAGAAAGAATGGTGAGAATGGTTATTTGGATACTGTTGCTAGAAAGTGATTTAACCTCTTTTCAACAATGGCATTTATTGCTTTCTTTTGTGTTTTGCTGGGAGTGCCAGAAGCATAATGTTTCCAATTACAATATTTTTATTTATTGTTAGTATTTATGATATAGCTAACAATATATAATATAATTGAATAGTTAATATTTGAGTGATCCTAACAGCTATGATGATGGGTAAATTTTTTACAGCATTACAAAATTGCTTTATTATTGCTGTAAATAAAAAAGCAACATATTACAAATAATAGACTTCAAATTTAGATTTTATTTTATTTTTATTATAATTCATTGTTCCTGAATTTGATGTGATTTTCTTTTTAGACCTCTTTAGCTACACGTTTTGCTCAAGAAGCTTTTGGAAAACAATACAAGCAAACCATAGGACTTGACTTCTTTTTGAAAAGAATAACACTCCCAGGTAAGGTGAAATTGGAATGTAGTATAAAAATTGGGAGTAAGAATAAAGTGTTGAGGAAAGCATAAGAAGATGTAATGTAGCACTTCAAGAATTTGAACAAAACTTTGATGACTAACAAGGATAATTCAGTGCTACATAAGTCTGTATTTATAGTTACATTATTTTATATTTTGTGTGTACCATTTGTCTGAGATTCTTACATCTCTGACTTGTAACATGCATATGTAAAATACAGGAAAAACAGAATTAAAATGACCCTTTTGGACTCTTTAGATTCTGATATGTGAATGGTGTCTTATGCTAGGCAACATGAAATTACTGGCATTTAATAGACCACTAAAATTCAGGTTCCCCAGGCAGTCATAAAAATACAATTTGAGCATTCAAAATATCTCATTTCATGGTGCAAAGAACTATTTAGATGCCAGTTGTACTATGCTACAAGGAAAATGTAAAGAATTAATTCATAAAGACAAGCAAGATCTTAAGTTTATTTCTAAACAATTGGAAGTCTGAAAGGAGTTTTTCATTCATAATTCAATTTGCAAGCATAAAACTATGTAGTTGATGTAGTTTCTAATGCATTAAAAAACTGAAGTGAGAAGTCAATTCTCCTTGCAGTCTCACAGTGAAAATCTTGCTGTTATTACAGGCTGCATTACTATAAAACAAACAAAGTGCAGTTGAATTAATAATGCATAGGCTTGTACTTTTCCCACCTAAGTAAAACCAAGTTGGTCTCTTCTGAACAATAAATTAAATTAGAGCATCAGTAATTAAGTCTCAAAAATACTTTAGGTTTTAAAAAAACACTATCAGATGTATAGATATAGATTTGTGCAGGCTTAAATAAATAATTCTGATAACTTGCTTAAGTTGACGCTGGGATCTAGTTATCCAGACTTTTTTTGGCTAGGCCAAGAATAGATTCATTGCTGTGGTACTAAATTCTACATTTGAATGGTTATTTCTCTGTGAACAGAATAGAATAATCAAAGGGTACTAACCTTGTTCTTCTAGAACTATAAATATTTGTAATATTTATCGAGGCATTAGCAAATGAAAAGTGTATCCTATACACATGAGAGCATAAGCTGGAAATGTGAATTTCAATATGTTTGAAACATTGCAGGCCATTTCAGAAATATGAAATGAGAAAACACTTCATTTTCAATTATTAGACTTATTTTTCTCACAATCTCTGTAAGTCCAATTGGTGGATATTCAGTTGTTATTTCTCTAGAGTGTTTCACAAACGTGATTGATAGTCAGCTTTACAGCTATGCAAGCATCATTTTTTGAAGAATGAGTCTTTTTATGGTTCAGTTTAAAATATACTGTATGGCACAAATGAATACATTTTAAGAATATTAATTTTGAGAATTGTACTGGTTAAAATTAAAACTGGAGTATTTAATACAGCAAATATAAAGGAAAAAATGTCAGTCATTTCTTTAGAGTTATGGCATATTTAAATACAGCTGCATATTTTGAGTCTTTAGGTTGAGTTTATTATTTTATTATAAATGTTGATTCCTTTAATCTCTGTTTGCTCATTGGGTTGAATATTGATTTCAGTTTATATTTGGTAGCTGTTTTTTGACATTATTGAATTCAGTGAATAACATGAGATTAAAAAATGGGTTCGTAAGAGTGAGAATTCCAAGCATGTTTATGCATTGTTAAATTTGGCTGAAATTAGTGAGGTTTGTTTATGAAGCTTCTTCCACTCAAGATAAGAAAAGTTTCCCCAACTCTCTTTAATTGGTGGATACATTTGGATCTTTGCCCCTCTCCAAACGTGCACACAAAATATGGAGGAGCACAGTCCACATAAAATACAGAGAAGAAGGAACAGAGGCAGCAAAATATCTCTGTATACATACAGCTCAGACAAAATACAATGAAACAAAACAAGAAACCAGTGAATTCACACCAAAACAAAAGAAAGCAAAAAATTTATACTACAGGCATTCAGCATGGAGAAAAAATTCCCTTTGCTTCCTTCTTTGTGAAGGATGGTTGCTGTTTTTATTTCTTTGTCAGGGGTGAAAGGGGGAGGAATGACTCAGTTAATTTAGAAGTGAAATTCAGGCTGCTGTTGCGGCCTGACATTTTGATATTCTAGGAATTCTTTTAGGGCTTTGCAGCATACCAAGCAACAGACAGACAGACAGACCAGAAATTGGCTATGTTGAGATTTCCCTAGATAGATAAACAAAGAAACTTGGCCATGTTGAAGTTTCTGTGGTAAGTCTTGGGATTAGCTTTTCTGCACTTCTCTGTTGGGACAGTATCAAGTGATTTTTATTTCACTCCTGGAGCTGCTGCCTATTGAGTAGATGCCTTGGCTAAAAGTAGAAAGTTAATGTGTAAGATAGTAAGGAGTCGCCAGTGGAAGGGAGAATTAGCCAAATTGTCCTCTTAGCGGAGCACCTATTGAATCAAATTATTTTCTGCAAATAGGAGTGACATAACTTACCACACAGACCCTTCATGTTCAAATGCTGTGCAGAAAAGGATCTCTGAATTGGGATTCTTGTATTTAGGATTGGAGCATAAATTTGTATATATGCTTGTATTATTTAAATATTTCATAAAATAATTTCTCTAGCTGTTATATTTAATCAAACACCGTACATCAAATTACGTAAGGCAAAATGAAAGGTAAAGATTCCGTGCTCAACTGCTAGCAACTACATTCATGAAATTTCTTGGCAGTGTTACTGGAGTGGTATGCCCTTGCTTCCTTCTCCGACGACCACTCTGCAAGTTTCCCCATGAATACTAACTAAGTTGACTATGTTTAGCTCCTGAGGTCAGACAGGGTTTGCTACAAGATTAAGATACAACATGCAAAATTAAGCACACTATTATTAGAGACAAAATTGTAGGAATTCAAGTAATAATTTTAGATAAAATAATTTATCTTAAATTGATTTTATCTTTTAACACAGGGTATCAGTGTTAAACAATAACACAAGAATGGACAATATATCCGTATTAAACTAACCCAATTTTCTTTGATTAGAATAATTTTATGATGTAGCATGAGTATATACATGTAGTTCAGTATGCTCTAGATGTAACCACAGTGCAGATTTTTGGCTTAAAATAATGTTGTTGTTAGACAGAGGCTTCACAGAAACGGATTCTTAAGAGTCAGAGTCAAAATACTGCAGGAAGATTGCAGATATAACCCAGTAAACAAGGTTTTATTGTGAGGAGGTTTTAAAAGGCTTCAGCAAAAGAACAGAAGTGTTTTTAGTTCCATCTTGATGATGTAGAACTTAACTAAGGTTATCCAGCGTGATGAGTGTACTTTTAGCAGGTTATTGAATCCTGCTAGTGACCAAAAATGTTGGGATATTTGCCCTGTATTCTTAATAAACTCAGCTTCACACTTGGTTGAACATTATTTCCTATGTAGTACAACAAAATGAAAGTTCCAGCAACCTTTAAAAAATAGGTTTTAAAATAGTTCACTTGCAAACTTTAATTGTAAAATTCTTTAAAATGTAGGTTATTGAAAATATTTAGTTTTGTGTTATACTTCAATGGCTTGTTAGTTGTACCTGGGGCTTAATTTTGGAAGCCAGAACATTTGTGTGAATTATTGCTATTATGTCCCAAATGAGTAATAAGCTTCAGATAAAAAATACAGAAAAACATACCTGAAGAAAATGTAGAAGTATATTTTCTTTTTTATGTATTTGGGGCTGGAGGAGAGCCACGGTCAAAATAGATTGTGTGTCATGCAGTTGTCAGAGCCATTAATGCCTTTTTGGAGCCCATCTCCACAGATTTATTTATTTAGCACCCTCATCTGCCATCCATGGGGAAAAGCTGCCGAGCAAGGCCCATTGGCATGAATGTGTGTGTGTGTGTCTTGCATCAGAAATCCTATAAGGCAATACATTTACTTAGAGACATGGCTGAAATATTGATGATTCTGGATCTGAAAATACCAGCTACAGCTGTCTTAATAATAGGCATTTAACAATATCAAAATTAGGCCACTTTCTTCTGCAGCTAGAATTGTAGGGGCCATTTGTCTGGCCACCCTCTTTTATACAAGAACTAAAATGCTCCCTTCCAGCAATTTTACAGGAAGATTAAAGAGCCTATTTCCTTATTGTGAACTGTCTCTCTGTTTTCATAAGTTAGTTAAAGATGCAGCTGCAATTAGCAGCATATATGAACTTAATTAGAATTGTCATCATCCAAATGAGAAGTTATTATATAAATAATACTAGATAGTTCAATTATATGCTTTATTGTTTGAAAACTTGCAAAGAAGGTAAATGAAATAATTGCTGATTTTTAAAAAAGACTAATTTAATAGGTTTTACTATGCATTTGTGTTAGAAAATATACAATTCAGTCTCAAGTTAAGAGTCATTTTCTTAGTGTGACAAAATCCTTCTTCCTTTACTCATCCTTTCAGGGTGATACATTCAAGAGCAAGACTATATTGCTGTTGAATGTATGTCTGATTAGGGTTTTTGAGGGGGGGGTCAGAGGATTGTTTTTTTACATCAGTGTAATGGGAAAAATGCTATTTTGTTTAAATTCCACCTATTTGTATTAGGTCCTTCACATTGTGAAGGATATAAACAGTAGTGGTGCGCAAAATATTTCAAATTCAATGTCTTTCATAGTCCAAAAAGATTTTATTGGGAGCTAGGAATGGGCTGTTTTGAGTTTGGAACAGTTCCAAAATGGCAGAATGGTGTTGGAATGCTTCTGGTAAGGTTGGAACTGCTGCTTCACATTTGAAATAGAGTGCTTTAAACTTGAAATATTTTGCAATCCACTAGCAAAAAATATTAAAAAGGCAGTCCTGTAATGTGAGGCCTTGACTTCAAGAATCCCTTTGGGGATTTTTTTCAGGATACATTTACATTAGTGTTCAAAGATTTTAGCACAGAACAGTGAATTGGTTATATAGACAAATTTATTTCACTGAACTGTGCTAAATTGTGGCATATGCTGGCAATATATTAAATCAGGATACAAAAGTTGGCATAGGGCATAAACATCACTTATGCATTGTTTATCTCTCTCTCTCTCCCTCTCTCTGGCGAGAGATAAAAAGTGTGTGTGTGTGTATTTCTATTTTGTTAGATTTAGCTTTGGTTGGGAAATACTTGGGGTGTGGTCTAAAATACATTTGAGCATTAAGTTCCACTGAATTCAATAACATTTAATTCTGTGTTAATGGGATCACTCTGTTATTGTCTGTCTGAAGATTCTCCCGGCATAGTTGGTTTTTAACTGCTGTAAAAAAACTTAAGGCATAATGCAGCCAAAATTAAACTTCACTTCAGCTTAAGTTAACTTTCAAACACAATTGAGGAAATAATAAATTTAAATGTGTGTGGGGGAGATCATGTTGATTGATCAGGTATATCATGTTGATTGATCAGGTATATTGATCAGTCATGTTTGATCAGGTATAAAAACTTACAATTAACATAAAATGAGATTTAAAATAAGTAGGATTTGTCTTTAAAAATTCACTATTTTAAATCAAAATTAATACAGAAGATTCCAAAGATTTTGTTTTTAGAGTGCATAATGAAGGAAAAATGTTTTGGTATATGCACTATATTAAGCTGATTGTTGCAGGTACAGATATATTTCAGCTGTAGTGGAGTATCAAGAAACTTCACTATACTGACTGCCAAAACTTAAGGCTTGATGTTTTAGCTGAAGAAACCCAAATGGGTTTTAGACTGTTTCTGTAGCTCCATCAACAGATAATAGTGAAATTTCAAAGAATAATTTCTGTGCAGCTTTTCTCTCTTTTAAATAATTTTTTTAAAAGCCTTTCTTTTTCATAGTTCAAAATACTTCAACAGGAGGAAATGCCATGGAGAAAAGTGAAAATAAAATGCTGTTCTTGACAATATGCCCCTTTTTGAATTGCATTACTAACAAAGGAAAAGTATTTCACCCACAAGGAATATTTGCTAGAGGACTATTAATAATGAAAATACTTTTGCGACACAGTAACCTTCACAAAATTGTATTATATTTTGTTTATAGGCTTGGGTCCAAAATCTACTCTGCATCTGCCAATTTGGGGTTTACTTTTTTGTTTCTAGAGCACCAGCCCATCAGACCACACTGCAGAGCAATTTGTGATACGGCTGAGGACGGAGTGTAAATTGCCGTCCAAATCCGGAATCTTCCCTGAGCTAATGAGTTGTTAGGCAGGACGTTTGGATCCCCAGTGCATTTATCATTATACCATTGACAGAGGCTGGGCTCCATGCGCTGTTGGGTTCTTTGCTTGTATGGCAGACCATGCCTTTAATCATATTATCATCTTAAGAGGTGGGTGTTATTTAAGATGAAGTAGTTACAATTTGGAACACTTATTTTATGCCTCCAACAACTTAAAAAACCTAAATGTAGCTGCTAGTTCATTTTTTGGCCCAGTTTAATCATTTGGGGCCAGTTTACCAGAACAATTGTCTTCTGTGGATACCAGGTGCAGTGTGGGCGGGGGGAATCCTGAGAAGGAGGTTTTCTTTGTGCTGGTGCCTTTGCTGTAGAGTACAAAATAGCCCCCCAAGTCTTTGTCATCCTTTGGGGACTTGATAAAGATACTGCCATTCACCATGGCCCCTTAAATAGCTCACCTTTTAAACAAATAAAGTACTAGTTCTTTGATGCAACCTATGTTTGGTAATTTGTGTTTCTAAGACTCCAGTACTGTACATTTTACTCTGGAAGTAAGCCACATTGATTTCACTGGGACTTACTTCTGAGTAGATGTATGTAGGATTGCATTACCAGGGATTTCTATCTCAAGAGCAAAGTTTTATGCTGCATTTTATAACATTTAAAATGTTTTAATTAACTAATATTTTGTATTTCAATATTATATTTTATTTGAGTTGTGTAGGTTAGAAAACATTAGCTGGGCAGTCAAATAAATCTGCATTTGAAATTATCATTCTACTTAAAAACAATTTGTCAACGCAATATGTACAACTGCTGCTTGAGAAACACAAGAGTGAAGCCTCTTAATGAACTTAAGCGTTCTTTGAAATTTGATGTATTATGGCCAACCATGTGTTGTAAGCACTGGAAAACCTTGTGGTCAATCTTACTCACCTTTTACAAGAGAAAGACATTAGCGGTGAACACGTCTTACATAGGTATATTGCATAGTGTCTTAGTTTCAGTATTGAATGTATAGATTATTTATATCTGATTCTGTAACTCAGCTATGTCATATACATTAGCCTTTTGTTCCCCCTTCCCCTTTTCAGGAAATGTAAATGTTACTCTTCAAGTATGGGATATCGGAGGCCAAACAATAGGAGGCAAGATGTTGGATAAATATATCTATGGTGCACAGGTATGGTTAAAGAATTATAAACTACTGCAGTTTCTTACTGGTGGTCTTCCTAGAACGTTTACTATAAAAATGATAGTTTACAGCATAATTTTAAATGAGTATTAAAATGTAAGCATATGAATGAAACTTATTTGATCATTGATTTTGCAGAACGAGGGTTATTTTGGACAAGGTGCTTGGACAGTACTTTTTTTTATGAATGAAATGTATTAATTATATATCCCTAATAGCACTCTGAAACAGATGTTGCTTGCTTTATATTGTGAGCTCAGTTGAAAACAGCAGTTTTCATCATGTTTATTTAGATATCCCCATGGATATCGAAATAGGCATGCTTGCTGTTTGAGTACAGATGCTTCCTAGTGAGAAAGAGGAGGAGGAGGAGGAGGAGCAGGAGGAGCAGGAGGAGCAGGAGGAGGAGGAAATTAAGGGCAATCCTATGCCATTAAATTTGTTCAGCTAGCTGAATTTCTGGGAGGGGGGTATACAGAAGGTTACCAAGTAGCTAAATCTTTTTACAAAACAGTGAAAATAAACAGTACTTTACAAGTAAGGAAACTTATGTTAATAATAGTAGTTAACACATATATAACCAGTGCATGATTTTAGAACAAAGTTTTAGACAATATTTTAGATAAATACACACATACATACGCAGACATCTATTTTTGATATATTTAGTTTCTTCCGGAGTAATGAAGAAAATAATTGAGTATTAGATGAATCTTGGGGATGGTGATGTGTAAATGTAAAAGAAAAATTGTTGATGAAGGGAAACTGGAAATTGCACACAATGTTTAACAAATCTGAGTCAACTGCATTGCAGCTGAGGAAACAAATCAAGATTTCTGACATAAAATGGGGAAGCTCTAAAACAAAATTAAATCTTATAATAACATGGGGATTTCTCTATATGTGAAATATATTATATGCACGATGTTTAGAGCATAATGGAATTTGAGATTGTAAAAGGTATATTTTCCATGTAATCAGCCCTAAAATATTTTCTTGGTAATAGTAATTTTAGTGGAATTTATTTTCATTTGAATGCATAAATGAGTTGACAAATTGGTTTTTGAGGGTTCATGGCATCAAACACAAATCATTAGAGTAATTCTTGAAATTGCATGATAAAGCAGGTCATTTTAATTGTCTGTCTATTGCAGATTTGAGGATGAAAACAGGGAATACTTGTTTATCTAAAGCCACCTAGTAATTTAAAGATAACCACTATTTGAACGATAGTCTGATTCAGTTTTAACCATATTTTATATTAATTCTGTTAAATTTTTAATGTAGGGAGCAACCAGGTGCCCCATCCCTGTTTTTCTGCTACTTATTTTGTGAACATTGTTTTCATGAAAACAGCATTTCTAACAACTTTGGGGATATCCGTGTTCTAGACAGTTGCCCTCCAAATCCTGCTGAAGTGCAACTTATAGCAACCTTAGCCATCATGACCAAAGAAAAGGACACTTTTAGTTAGCAAAGGTCTGTTTCCTCACCTCTGTGTTACATAATTTAAGCATGGTCTCTGGTCTTACTTTCTCCATCTAAGATGAAATTCTTAAGCATAAAGAAAAATGAAGGATGGAGCACATTTAGAAATTTATAGCATTTCTTTGATATCTTCCATATAATCTGCTTAATCATCCATATTAGATGTAGTCTGCTGCTATTTTAATCACGGGGCCCCAGGAGATTATACTGGTTTGAGTATGCAGTAGATGTAATGTTGATTATGACATTCTACAAGCTAAAACTGAGTTTAACTGCCAGTATCAATGTCAGTTAATAACCTCAGTTATTCTCATTTATTATCCAAGAAGTTTGATTAACTCTGATATTATTGTCCTTCTGGAACCAGGTTAAAAAGGAGGTCTTCCAAAGTTTTCTTTTAAATTTAATACTATATATATATTTATATTGCTCTAAGATTTTTTTAAAAAAATTGATAATAATTGTATTATATTATGAATATTTTACAGTTACATATGTTTGTATTTTTGTACACAATTGAGAGTTGCTTGATTGTGGTGGTTTAGTAATGTAATAAATAGATAAAATTTTCAGTATGACACAGTTTAAGCAGTCTATAAGCAAAAATAAATACAATTTTTTGCTGCAGTTCCGTTTTGGTCAACATTAAGAATGCAAGGCCATTTTTTAAAACAATATAATTTTTTCAACCACTAGATTCTGTATTGAATATGCTGATTTTGTCTTTTTTGTACCTGTGTGCCATATATGAACTTGAAAGAGTATCTTTCCCCTTGTGCAGAATCTATGTATTGAGGTTTTTTTTTAATGCATCAGCCCTTATGTTAACTTTATGCAACTTAGTTGTCTGATTTTTGTCATTAATATTATCCTTCACATAAGGCTTTTCTTTCCAGGCTGTCCTTTTGGTGTATGATATCACCAGCCAACAGAGCTTTGAAAACTTAGAAGATTGGCATAATGTTGTAAAGAAGGTCAATGAAGAGTCAGAAACTCAACCACATGTGGCCCTTGTAGGCAATAAAAGTAAGTTGTTAAATTGTTATTTAGCTGGAATCTTTTGACCTAGCTAAAATGCAGATCAGCAGCATGTTCTCTATTCACAGCTCTACAGTACAGCGGTGTGAGCCCCAATCTTGCAGACATCGGTACATGTGTGGTCCCTTTCATTTTACTGGCACCATGGTGCATTGATTTTGGCAGGCTCCAGAACTGTAGAATGTAATATTTCATGCATTAGACCAAATGGGGAGTGCTGTGTTGTGACAGCAATCACAATGTTTAGTCTGCTGGGGGATATCACTTCATGGAAATAACCTGCTTCAGTGATTAGCAGCATGACATTACCCATAAAACTTGGAAAATTTTGCCAATTTGTTTTCCTTACTTTATTTTTAATACAAAATGGCTTTTTATTGTTTAGAATCCCTTTTTTTAAGCCATGACTGATCAACAAATTGTGCCTGATTTTTTTCCCTATCTTTGTTAATAAGTAACAAATAATAAAACTTGTTTTGAGAGAAGCTTAATTGCACTGTCAGCTTATTACACAAATAGGTTTAAACCTGGAAGAGCTTAGGATCCATGTTTTGGCAGTATTGTTGAAAAAAAAATAAAGATTGCAAATAATAGGATAGGTTTGTTGTTGTTGTCGTCCTCCCCCTCCCCCTCCTCCTCTTCCTCCTGTAATTATAAGAATACTTATATAGACCTTGATTTCCTTGCAGACATTTTAAGAAATCTTTAGTTTGGCTATTCAATTTGTCAAAAATAAGACTGCTGAATGGTAAAATATTGGCCAAATATTTTTAAAGCATTGATTTTATTAGAACAATAAAAAGGTTAATTTTACAATAAGTGAGATATTCATGCTAATTACAAAAACAAATATATTAAGTTGCTTTATAGCATTATTTCTTTGTCTTAAAGAATGCTATACCATTCTTCATAAAAGGAGATTTAAGAACATTGTAGAATGGTGAAACTGAAATATTTAATAATTAGCAGGAAAGACAAAACAAACATAGCAGTTAGTTCTGCATAATCATAGCGGCAGTGCTGGCTTCCTTCCATTCCCTAATGAAGCAAAAGACTCACCCTGTTTCTAGGGTCTTATGGAGGGAGAGCCGAGAGCATCCTCAGATATTCCATTGGTAGTTTACCCTTTTCCTTCTTAGACTCCGTTATTAGGAGGGGAAGCACCACTGAGTACCTTTCTGTACAGGCTGTTTAAATCTGAGTTCCAACCTGTGGCTCTATAAAACTACAAGGATTTTCAAGATGAATAGGCATTTGTATCACAGGCTGATGTCTTAGTTTTGAGGCCCAGGGAATCTCAGGTAGTATTTTTGGAGTAAATATCCTCTGAGCAGAGAGTACTCTTTCTCCAACTTTCAGGTCAGTGGTGCCAAAAAGATGGAAGGGACTCCCTTACAGACATAGGTGAGTGGCAAACCAGAGTGGCTCCTTAGGATGCCTATAAGAAGCAACAGCTCTGACAGTGAGAACAGTAACAGTTCTCTTGGAATTAACCAGTTATGGTTAGTGCCTCCTTGCTCTAGGCCCAGTCATTCCCAGATATTCCAGTAGATGCTAGATATTTGAAGGGCTTGAATGAGCTGCCAAGGGCATTAGAGTTCATGGTTGACTGTTCCATGGATAGCTTTCAGTTTGATCAAGAGCCATGACATTGAGCATGGGGATCTGCTGGGGACTGTGACTTATACATTGGGAAGAGAACGGTTGATTCAAAATTCTGGTTACCTTTTGGGAGTGGGGGTGAACCATTAGCATCAGTGCTCAAGGAGAACAAGGTCATTAGAAGGTCTGGCCTGTAGCATCTAGAAAGGATGACACCAGATCAAGGAAAATAGCCTCATTTTCACGACAGAGACCAAAGAAATTATACCTCTTGATCAGGAACCAGACAGGGTGGTTCCTGTGGCCCCACTGCAGCAATCAAGAAAACTCACCCTCCCCAGGTCCAAGGAAATGAACTTCAGCATGATGCTGCAGAGCTCCAGGTGAGCAGCAGCTTGCAATGTTTTTGGTGCACCTGGGAACCCAGTGCCACCAACTGATGGATGCTAGGAGACGGTTCAACTAGGATGTGATCTGGGCTCATAAAGAATATCCGGAGACAGATTCCTTACATAATCAATTTCCAAGGTTGGGGCGAAAAAACCCTCCATAGAACATTCAAGCCATCAGGCTCCTATTAGCTATTGATGCCATAGGACAAATCCCTTTGGAAAGTGGCGCTGAACCTCAAATCCATAAAGAGGTTCATCAGATAATTAAGGTTGAAGGTGAAGACCCAGTGTTCCTTTGCAGAGGCCATTATACTAGATCATTTGTTGGTATCAGTAGAGCTAACCCATCATATCAGTGCAGTCGAGTTGTCTCAGGTTTACCTACAACAGCAACCAATTTCAGTTCAAGGCACACCCCTTTCACTTTGTATCATCAGTCCAGAAACTTGCCAGAGTGACAGCAGCACTGGTAAGTCATTTACAAACCAAGACATGCATGTATATTCATGCTTAAATGAGGGCACCATTTATGGACAAAGCTACAGCCAATGGTGCGTGCTTGGAGGAATAGTTTCATGGTGAAGTGGGCCAACAGCTCCATCTCCAAACAGGTACTACTCTTAATGGCCCTGATTGACACAGAGAAACAAAAGCTCTTTCTGTTGCAAGAACAGCTGAACAAGATTAGAAATATAGGTATTGCAGTCCCATGGATTTGTTTTCATTCACACTCCCTGCATTAATTTTCACTCACATTGTCAATGGGTTGTAATATTGATTGAAGGAAATTAAAAAAGTGAGCCAGCTTTATACTGGTGGCTGACGCAGGTGCACTTGTTGAAGTACTTATTGGTCCACCTTAGAGCCCAATACCACAGAAACCATTCAGTTATGCTGCAGAAACCTATGAGCACAGAAATTGTTCCAATGTGAAGTGGTCCTTCTCATCACCCAGCAGGAGCCAAGAGGTCTATAAGTCCAAGACTGAAAGAATAGGTCTGATCCACACATGCAATATATTGACCATCATGCACAAGACATGGATGTCCTTAGCAGCTGGAATTTTTGTCCAAATGATGAAGTGTGCCTTGTGGCATCATAGTGCAAGCTTTGTCCCTTACAAAGTTTTGTTCCTTACAAAATCTACTACTACTGATCATCATCACCATCACCATCACCATCATCATCATCATCATCATCATCATCATCACAATCAAAAGTGGCAGAGCTTGCATTGCTACATTGCAATGCATGTTTTATCATTCCCCACCCAATGCCCATGGCACTTGAATAACCCAGGGGGAGCCAGATCCAGAGAGATTCAGATGGAACCTTTTCAACTCATGACCATGACAGAAATCCATCTCCTATTGGTTATTTTTTAAAAAATGAATCAGTACAATAAATAATTGCCTTATATTCTGTGGCAATGTTGCCGTAGCACTTTAGGAGGTAGCAGTAATAGTTGGCTCATCATTATCCCTTAGTCTATAGCTAATCTTAACAACTTCCTTCGCATCCACCTTCCCACTTAGGCTTTCCATTATCTTTAGTGAGAGCAAGATTGAAATTATATTCCCTTTTGTTTAAAACCTAGTTATTTAGTTAACCACTACTATGAATTAACAAAATATTTTTGCGACATAGGGACCTGCTTTATTTTTTTCTTCTTCCTGACAAACTCAGCTGATGTTTTCTTCGTTTATCACATTTATAAGCAACACACATAAGTGTCAAGTCAACATTCCTGCTGGATAAATAGTGACCTAAAATTAACCTTGCTGCATGGGAGCTGCTGTTACTAGCTTTACAACTGGCTGGAAGGCCTGAGGGCAGCTCTTATCAGCAATTTGTAGAAAGGGTAGGGATTATCAGGCAGCGGTGTATGGTAGATGAATGAGTGATGTCTTTTCACGTCGATATTAACCAGATCTTTTTTAAGCAAAGCCCAATAAGTCAGGTTTTTAAACAGTCTTTGTGACAGATGGATCTGAAAAGAGAGTGCATCAGTGCTAATTAAAAATGTTGATGGTGTATTTGCCTGAGTGATGATTAATTGATGCTGGAGTGCGGTCTGGGAGCAGGAAATGTACTGTTGTAGTGTGAAGTTTAAAGGTTACATTTTAAAGTAACATGTAAGGTTAATGCATTGAACTGTCTGAACTGCTGGAGCAACAGAATTGCACTTGAAACTGCCAATCTTGATTTTTTCCTAAGGACTCAGATAATTCTATTCTTGCAGTGCTCCTGCCAGGCAATGAAGACTTTTCCCAGGGCAGGTCAATAGAGCCATCTCCTTTGCTTCCCCAAGGACAAACGTTGCTCTGCTGCCCCACTGGCTGAGCAGCTGGTCTGCTGTGGCTCTGAGGAGACCAAGTGCAGTTGGAACTGAACCATAGGCTCAAATTAAAAATAGTTTAAAAAGTAAATTAGATCACATATAATGGATTAAAATTTAAAACATACAGACAGATGATAAATGCACACACTTTATTTTATAGAAACCCCAGTGTTCAAACTAATAATGGTTACAAACCAATCAACATCCTCATTTAGGTAAAACTGGGAATATAGTCCTCAATTATTTCCTTTATTCAATTTCCTCAAACTCTCAGTACTTCAAAATTTAACCTCATTATACCCAAACGCATGAAAATGTTTAGGCAAAGTGGATTGGCTTACATTCTTTTCTGTTATGACTTCTGTGTTCACTAATGTGTGCCTTATGCAGACCAGTTTATTCCTGCATATAACAAGAACATTTGCAGTGTGGAATCAAAAGTAAAACAAATCTAATACTCTTTGATCTAGAGTAGAGATGAGCAACCCACTCAAACTCCTTTTTTGTAGCCCTTGGTGTCCTCTGCTGAAATTTGGTGCTAATAAGCAGGAAATTGGTACTGTAGTTTGCTGTCAGTTTTTGATAAGAAAGAAGTAGGTATGTTAAGCTTAACATTCCTGTATAACCCACTATCTCTCCCAATCAAAAGTGGG